AATCAGGAGGGTATATGTATCCTGGTCAAAGTCAATATTTGAAACATTTGTATGATAAATTTATCCTGCTTAAATCTTGATTGATATTATTTAATTGTATTAATAATATTGAAGATAATGTGGTTGAGTTAGATTTGACTTGAAATTGAATAATTTGTTGATATTTTTATAAACAACTGGGGAGAGAGAGAGAGAGAGAGAGAGATTGGTAAGAGGTCACAACATGTCAAAATCGATTTTGATTAGATTATGAGTTATATTGAATAAAATTAATTGAGTGGGATGAAAGAATGTAATTAAATAAAAATTAAAATGTAATGATATTGAAGTTGATGTGATGTAAAAGTAGGACATAAATGATAGAAGTGTTGGGATCTGTGGGGATCTCGTTATGTACAAATCACGAATTCAATAGCAAACGTAAACGTATGCGTAGCGGATCTAAAGGTTTGACGTAGAGAACTTACGGCTTAAAATTTTTGGCGATCTGGCTGATCTTCCGGATGGCGTACACAGCACACGGACGGAACTGGATCACACGAGCAGGATGGCGGGATCGAGTCGGGTCGGATCGGGTGGCGTCGTGTGAGTGGTCGCGAGTCGCCGATCGAGTCGCGTCGGGGATCTGCTGTCGGCGGTCGTGTCGCACGTCGCGGCTGTCCGGCGGCTCCTTGCGGTGGCGATCGGCTGGTCGGTGGCAGAGCTGGGTTGGCCGGTTGCGGCCTTCGGGTCGTGATTCGTCAACTCCAAGTAGATGATCACCGGGTCTCGATTACCTATGAAACTTCTACTGTATTACTCAAACACCTCTTCAACTTGTACCAGTGGAGCAACAAAAAGAAGATAAAGCTCGAATAAGAACTGAGAGAGAGAGAGTATGGGGCGGCGTGTATCTCGTGTGGAATGAGAATGGTTCTCTTCTCATGAGCTTAATGATGTATATATAGAACTACAGTAGGGATCCTTAAGAGATTGGGAATAGGGCTTCTTAATTAATTAGACTAACTGTGGGGCAAGCCCACACCTCTAATTAATTAAATAATATTAATGGGCCACCAACATTATATTATTGAACTCCCTTTTCCTAGCCCAAATTACATTTGAGACTCCAATGATAATTATTCGATTTACCTCTCCACGTTTAACATATAATGTCCATTAATTAATTTAATTATTGACAATCAAAAATTAATTAATTTATTACTATTTCACTGAAGTTAACGCTCGTTCATCGCATTCTTATTATGTCGAAATTTAATCTACCTGCAGGGTTTAGCATAACAATCCTTCATGAACTCACTCCGGGGACATCATCAAACTAACGCACATGGTGACCGTAAATATCCTAACAGCATAATATATATAGCATTATTACCCAAAACAGTAGCAATATTGATCCAGCGAACTGAACCTCACCCAAGTGAATCAAAGTAATATGTACTACATATAAATGTCTTTTAATATCTTATGGGTTAAGAGGACGCAGTAATTAACCGAGGCCTAATTCATTTACGACGATCAGTATAAAATGAACTTTTCCTCTCTGGAATGTTGTTCAATACATAAATGTTCTAGTACAACGATTGTACAATTGACACTACAACCGTTCGGATGGAGTGTTCATGTCCATCTAGGTTGTGAACACCTATTCTTGTTCGCAAGTAACTGATAGAATGATCTTTGGTTCGCCCGATGACGACCCACTCTATCTAAGTGCAGAACAACAGAACGTAGAACTTGTTTAATCTAACATGATTCTCATTCATAAAGGGCAAATATGTAATAACATACAAAGCCAAGTTTTCAGTATATAACACTAACACTAACAGAAAGTGGTGGATAGTAATTAAAAATATGTGGGTGGATGAATAGTAAATTAAAGTTGATGTGATGTAGAAGATAAATTATTTATATTTAATTATAATTATAATATTTAGATAGTGAGATTGAGTTAGATTTTGAGTTAAAATGATTAAAAAAATAAACTGATACAATCAAAATTGATTTAACCAGTTCCCTAAGTCTTTTAGTTCAAAATTGTATTTAAATTGAATTTTTGCATCATATTGCATAATTTTTTTGTTGATGAGAATTAATCAAATGACCATTTATTTTGAAAAAAAAAAAATTGCTAAAATACATACTAACTCTAAAATAAGCATAAATCAACATCCAAAAATTCAATTAATTATTTGATTTTAGAAATTACAAAATTGGTTTACAACTAAGAGGTCGAAAGTTAAAGAAAATAAGTATAATCATTCTTAAAATTTGATCTAAAAATTTAATAATATAAGAAATCTCGGTATATTCTACAAAAAATAAATAATATTATACCTTAAATTAAGTTAGTAGAAAAAAGGTTTTAACTATTTACATATCATATTTTTTTACGTTTTTATCAATATCATATGTGTGTGTATATATATACATATATAATGAAATTTTAAAAATTTTGAGGGGAGCCGAGTGCCCGCACTAGGCCCCCTGTAGGTCCGTCTATGATACCAAGTGAGTAGAACTGTGAATGAGCCAAACCGATAAACGAGTTTGAACGGCACATTAATGAGCGTTAACAAATCGAGCTTGAGCCAAATTAACAAGAAGACTTATGATAAAAGTTTAGGAAATTGCATAAATACTCTTGTTTATTAAGTCTAACGAACCTTAATAAGTCGGGCCAAACTAGACTCGTGAACTAAAACAAATTTTAAACGAGATCGCTCTCAATTATTTCTGTACATCACATCAACTTTAATTCACCATTCATCCACTCACATAATTTTAACTATTCACTTATCACTTCCAATCACTTATCTTCCACTTTTATATCAAATCAACTTAAATCATTTTATTTTAAATATTATTTTAGTACGAACTCAAAATCCCACTCAAACTTTACTAACCAATCTTTTTAATATTAACTATGGTTAACCAAAAAACCAGTTAGAACTAAAAAAATCTATAAATAAGCATGTCCTTAGATTTTAATAAATTCTGTATAATGAACTTGAATAACAAATATATATTATGATTATCTCATATATGTTTTTTAAAAAATTCGAGGCTGATACGTAATCTAATTTTTTAAAAACTTTATACACATATCGATGTTTATATCTATAAGGAAACATCTTTTTATATGAAATAAGCATTACAAATACAATACATGCTCAGTATTTAACATTCGAAACAAAGCTCCCTTGTGTGAAATTTCTAGGTCCAACACCGCATGGTATATTACGTGCTTATTAAACTCATATCCCATATAAATTACTCTACCCGCCTTACATCAAATCAACTTATCACCTCAAGGCAGAATTTATTTCATCGAAATTACAGCCAATGTACGTCATATGGGCCATTATCAAGGTAACCAGATATTAAGAGGAAATTTTATCCTATCTGATATGAGATATCATATCGGGTCTCCTAGACCTGACAACCAGGCAACCAAATTGGACGGGCTGGCTGATCGAGGTGAGGCTGTCAGTATGACGTCAGGTCGATGGGGTCTTTAGCAGGAGGTCGACAGGAGCAGATTGAACGGAAGAGTTCGGCTTGACTGGCGATCTTTGAACGTGGAGGGACTCTGGTCGAGGGATCGACCTCTGAGGTGGTACATGAGCTGAGGGGGAGGTGTCTCTACAGTGACATGGGGGTTGGTCTTACGATTAGATTGTCCAACAAGGAAGACTAAATGATAAGAAAGAATCTTAGGGCAACAAGGGTAGCAACTTTAGCAGCAGGTAACTCACTCCTATTTAACTACAATCTCTACACTCTATACTCTTATATTATCTCTACAATTTTATTGTTCATCGACTTCTAGATATACTCATTGAAGCATCAGGGGCTTTTTGTTGGAAATAATAGTTAACAATAGAGAAAGAGACACTCAAATTTTATTATTCAATATTTCACTCAAGAACACATACAAAGCTCAAACAAGTTCTTTGAAACTTTGTCCAAAACTCTATTTCCTCCTTCTTTTGGAAATCTTTAGGGAACACACAAAATGAAAATGGGTTTTGGGATTGATCAAGCCTTATCACTTTTCTTCATAAGATTTTACAATTTGTCATGTGTGGTTACAAGTGTAAGAAGTGTTTACAACTCATCTTCTTTAATGAAAAACATTAATCTCATGAAGTTGCAACTTGTTTAATTAATTCAAGATTAATTAAACTCATAAGTTTCAAAATTGTGAAAGTGAAACTCATCTCATGTCTACAATGTGAATGTGATGAAACTTATCTTACATTCATGCATTGTGTAACTCAATTTAAACTCATAGATGTAACATACAAACTTCATCTAACACCTATGTTGTACTTTATAACTCATCTCACTTTTTATTTTAACCAAAAATATAACACTCTTCACGGGAGAACTCCTTCGGTGTGAGAATTTTTGCAGGTTCGCAGGCGATTTACCGACGAAAAAACTCAAAGCGAGGTCGATTCCAGCTGGTCCAGGATCTATTGCGTATCACTATCCTACATACAAGTGGGGCGTTTGTGGTAAATTTATACTGCTTAAATCTTACAAATCAATTTTCATTGCTTGCAAATATTCTGCTTATAATAATTTACCAACATCAAAAGAGTTACTGGCATGCAAATATATATTAGCCCCCTTATTTAGGGAAAGAAAAAGGGTCAAAAGGGCACACCTGATACAAAAAACATGTGTAATCCACACACCCGAACTCCCCCACTCATCAGTCATCACACCAACATTTGACTATCTTTACTATACTTGAGAAGTTACAAATCAAGTAGCCTTTCTTTTGTACATACAACAAAATAAAACACACAAACAAACACACGAATAAGTACAAAAACCACCTTTTTGGGGGTGCCTATAAAATAGTTGACCAAGTCACTCACACATTACATTTCATCACCTTTCTATA